AAACCCCAGAAGTTAGCCTCAGTTTCAGAGCCAGCTGGAGACAGTGAGTGGCCTGTTCTGTCCCTGCCCTTTGTCCAGGGAGAGGCCAGGGCTGAGCCCTGGAGTGTGCTGGCAAACATCACGTGCCAGTGCTTGAGCCCTGCCTCTCAGGTGAAAAAATGTGAATGTTTCATCAAAGCTGTAGAGTTCTGTGTTCAAAAGGAACGTGCTGGACTGGTAAAACTGAGTTAAACTCTGATCTACTTTGGTGAAGCTCCGCTGCACAGCACAGGGGAGGGTTACTCTTTAGTACTTTGCAGTCCATTGCTTAATACTTATAGATCCAGATTTCAGGCTGGCTTAAAAGGTGATGAAACTTGGTGTCTCCATCATGGGCAGTTCATTGCTACCACAGCATTCTCCAGGTTGTGATGTGGCAGATCCCAGTTGAGGTTTATATGTGAGAGCTGCCATATCAGCTCCTTGCCTCCCACAGCAGAGCTGTGGTTGGGGTTTTTTTGTGGCTCACCTGCTATTTAAGTATCTTTAACATCTCAAGGTTAAAGTGGCTTGCTCCTTTAGGCACTAGGAGTGCTTAGAGAAAAGGAAGGCCTTGGATAGCATCCTCTGTTTTAGCAAAGGATGACTGGCATTATGATATTATCTAGGGCTGAAAACCATGAACAAATAATTTGATTACAATCTCTGCTGGCTCTGTTTCTGCTCTTTTTCCAGTATATTGAACAAATTATCAAGCGTGTCCAGAAATGAGGGATGCCAGGCAGGCTGCAGTGCAGGGAGTCACTGGATTTCTTGGATCCTTTGTGTTTCAGGTTGCAAGTGGACAGAGTGTGGCACAGGCCCTGCCTTTGAGCCACAGCACGTCAGTCACCTGGTGACTTGGCAGGACGGCCGCTGCAGTCCCACCTTCCTCTCTTCTCTTCCTCTGCCACAGTCACACGTGAGCTTGGCTACAGGATTTGGATGTGCCACAGTCTACTGGTATTTAAAGAAGAGGTACATTGCTTCTCAAAAGGGCTTCTGTGTCAGGCAGTTTCTCATCTTGAATTTATGTGGCAATTCCTATTCCTGTAGCATGTTAATGCTGCTGCAGGCTGAGGGGCTGCGTTTCTCTGTAATCATAATCTTAATTAAGTTGTCAAACAATATTTAAAATGGCAGTATTTAATATCAACTATATGCAACTGAGCACACAAGAGTCTCTGACCTCATAAAATTACTACAGATTTCTGACAAAAAGAAGAGCTTCTGACCATAGAGTAAAAGAAGCTTTAAAGTATCACACAATAATTGTAGTCCATTGTACCGGTCAGAGGAGCTCTGCTAATGCAGCTTGAACACTGTCATTTTGCCTCGTGCTGTTTATGAAAATACCAGCATGCCTAAAGCAGTCACAGAGTGCTTGGTCTGGTTGCTGCCAGATGCTAAACCAAAAAGGCTCTAAATTAATTTCAGTTCCTTCCTTCCTCGGACGCTGAGATCCTCATGAGGTGTTATGAGTGCTCTGCTTTGTTGTGGCATGTTTGCAGAGGATATAATTTTTCACTTATGACTTGGCATCAGCAAGGTTTGCTCTTCAGTTTCATCTTTCTCAAAGAGCCAGAGTCTTCCTCTGCTTTGAGCTCAGGTTCAATAAAGAGGAAAAAACTTATTAGATCTTGGTTTCTTCCAGTAGGTGTCCAGCAAATATATGGAATATGGTGTGATCCTACTTTAGAGCTGCATTGTTTCACCATTTCATACATTTCCATTCCTATCATTTGTGGATCTCTGACCAACTGTGGGAGTTTACCTATTTTTCTCAAATGCTCCAGGATCAATCAAGTGCCACTTTTTTCATGCAAACAATTACTACTTTCCTGGTGACTTTTGCAATGCTATGCTTTTGAACCAAGACAATTCATTCCTTAAAGCTGCTGTCTCTCCATCTTCCATCAGGAGATAAGTATTGCTGCAGCTTGGAAAACAAATTCCATTTAAAAAAACAAACCAAAACAACAAAATGCAGGTTGATCACTGAGGTGACAGTTTAATTTTTAGATGAGACCACACGTGTCAAGTTCTCTGTAGCAATGGAAGTTGTCTTGCTCCCACTACCTTATAGCAAAATACCCTTACTGGTTTTGTTTTTAAAATGTCTTGTTTAAAAGTCCAGATTTTCTGAAGGCTTATGATGCAGCTGGCACTATCCAGGACTACGTGGTTGCCATGTTGTGTGACCTGAAGAAGCCACTCATGTCTGTCCAGAATGCTGCCAGCTGGGGATATTTTAATTCCAGAAGCAAAAGCTGGAATACTGACATGTAAGTGCTAAGGTCATTCAGTGGGGCTTGTGCACTGCACCTCTTTGGGCCCTGAGTATCCATGTGCTACAGATAAAAAGGGGTCGAAAGCTACTCCTAATCCGTTGTGACCTGTACTGCTGAACTCCTGACTATTGAGAGTTTGCTCTGGTTTGTGAAGTGTATCTGTTTAAATCTTGTAAAATCTGGTACAGTATTTTTAGAGATACCTACCAAGAGCAGAGCTGAGAGACTCGTCAGTGAGTCCTTGTATAGCAAACTGTTCTCTCCTTTTCCATGGTGGGATGGGATGGATGGGAATGGACAAGTGCATGTTGCAGCCACAGTGTTCCCTCTGTTGTGGCAAAGGCAGTTATCACTCTCTTAGTTCTTTCAACTGAGCTCCTTCATAACTACTAAGACTTACTTGTGATAATGTAGTTGTTAAGCTACAGGAAATCTTATAGGGAATCAGTTTATTTATTTACTTATTTATTTTAATGATTTACTCTTTCAGGACTGAGTGCTAAGGCCTTATATATTCAGGGCTTGCTTAGGTTAGGCCAGGACTCCAAGGTGAAAGATCTTCTCAAGGTATGAAAGAGTGACAGAAACTTGCATTTTGCCAACTGAACTTTTACTAATGTGGAGCTGTTGCTGTAGCACTGTAGTGTTATCTTGCAGCTGATTGCATAAGGAGTTTGTTGGATTTAACTCTTTGTGATTTGGTTTTGAACCACTAATTGCATGACATCTTAAGTTCTTTGACACTTAGCTGCATTTTTTGCTGTTTTTTGATTGTCCCTTTACCCTGGAACTGCTTGTCCATGTGACATCAGCAGGTTAAGCTGGCTGAACACGTACTGTGTGATCTCAGGTACTCAGATTGCATATAAAGGAAAACTATATATTCTTCTAGACTATTCTAGTTTACCCAGCCCATTGGACTGGAATGCTGCCCCTGTCCAAGACAGAGCTTTCTAAATAGGTGAAAGCCTCCATAAATCCAGCAGCCACAAATATATGGACAGGTCTTTGTAGGCATGCCACAGTTCCCATACTGCTTTCCTCCAATAATGTTGTTCTGATTACAGATTGAAAAAATCCGGCTTTCCTGTTCACTTGCTTCCAGAGGTGGGAGACCCTGGAAGCATTGCAGGCAGGACAACCTGTGCATGGCATGGAATACCCAAAGGAGTAAAAGTAGGAATTGCTCTGGGAGATTTGCAGTGCTCTGTTTATTCCTGTCTGACTGAGAGGACTGATGCAGGTATGATCATTTTAGTATCTGATTTGGTTTACTCGTTGTCCTCCTTCAGGGTGGCTTAGTAAAACACTGACTTTTTTTTTTCTTTTTTTTAATTCCTTTTGTGTTCTAGTTCTTAATTTCAGTACCTCTGCTCAGCTGACCATCTCAATGCCCCCTGGTTTCCAGCCTCCAGAGACACCAGATCCTTCCTCAGCTGTTAGTTATTTTCCCTACTTCAACGGGGACTACTTGGCAGTGGCAGCATCGCTCAACGGAGGCAACGTGCTGGCAGCGTTTGTGGGCATGGTGGCACAGTGGACAGAGGAGCTGGGTAAGTCAGGTCAAGGAGAGTTGAAGCTTAAAATTGAGGTTGATCATCAAGGTAAAAGGAAACTGAGGCAAAGGAACGAGCCTAGAGCTGTTCTGTCGTGCCATACAGGGAACGAGGATGTAACTCTTGGGCCAGGCTTCCTAGATCTCTGGAATTTCCTGCTTATGAACATGCTGGGACAGTCATGCTTGGACTCCACATTCACATTGCCTCTAGGTCTTCCTTGGTTTCAAGGACAGAAGAGAATTATTTTGTGCAAGTTGATTTTCACAAGGAAAAGCTGGCAGATTTGAGGACAACAGCCTCTAATTTTGTGTGACTGCAGTCCAGAGGAGTCCCTTGGTTGGATCAGTTGCCTTTTGCAGAACTCTAATGGATTTTAAGACTCAAACTCGTGTAATGTCTTCTAAGTGCTTTAAGCTTGGTCTTCACAGGTTTTTTAATAATCTCTTGGGTTTTGCAATACAAAAGTAAGCTCTGAAGTTGTTCTTTCAGCGAGTACTTGAGATGAGCTTCGCATTCACATGGAATCCAGCCACTGAAGCTGCTCTCTGCCATTATTGTCCATTGTAAGAGATTAGTAACCTGGTATTTTCCATCTGCAGGACTTCAGGTCCAGGAGTCTGCCATCTATACAAGGATAATCCAAGCAGCCTTGGCCCAAAACCACAGCAAACTCTCAGTCCACCCAACCATATTTGGAGAGAGACACATTCCTGAGCAGTTGGGATCAGTGACCAACATTGCTGCCTCTGAGCTGTCCCTGGGCCACGTCACCAGAGCTCTGTGCCGTGGGATTGTCCAAAACCTCTGCTCCATGTTACCTGTGCAGCGCCTGACGGACGTGGGCGTGAGGAGGATCCTGGGCAGTGGGAGTGCCCTGGCCAGGAATGAGGTGCTGAAGCAGGAAGTGGAAAGGATTTTTCCATTCCCTGTGGTTTACGGGAAAGATGTTGATGCTGCTATGGGGGCTGCCATGGTGATGTTCCATGGGAAATAAAGTGGTTATTTGGAATGGCCTGAGATGGAAGCTTCTGTTTTCTTCCTGACTCTACTCTTTTCACTTTATTCCACATGCAATCTCACTCATTACAGAGGGAAAAAACCCCAGCATTTAATGCCCACTTCTGGGTCTGCACATTTCGGTGCTCTGTCATTCCCATTTGTGAAATGAGCAGTAATTACCACATTACATTTGTCTGAGTGACTGGGAGAGATCCATTAACTTCCTGCATAAAATGATACTTCACACGAGGCTCATTTTCCTGGTAGGAATATGTTTGGAAGGACTAGGAGAGAAGAGCAGCTGTAACTTGGTCTGATGCTTTCATTAGAGACTTCTTGTCCTTAAGCTGTCTCACAACATACAGACAGGCTGCAGACCAGGGTGTCAGCCTTGTTTGGGGGGGTTTGGTGGCTCCTGCACGGAACAAATCCCAGTCTTCATGGACTGCATGTTGTCTCTGTAAAAGGTGGAATGATACCTTGGCTTGAACATCGACAAAATAGTGAAAATAAAACATGGAGGGTTGTTTCTATTCTATTTTTTTCTACTCTGTTTGGGTGCAGTGGACTAAGGTCAAAGGCATGACTAGGCTGGTACCATGACTGGAGATGCCTGGAGTGCAGGGGTTATAGCCAAGTGGAAAATGCATTTATAGGGTGAGAAGTAATTCTTTTCTTTATTTGACACACATAATTATGTTTGAGTTTTGGATCAGGGCCTCTCTGAAACAGTCAGAATTGTGATAAACTGGAGGAGCTATGTTACTATGTTTGGTCTGAAGGTGTTTCTGGTTCTGCCCTTCCTGTATTGTGTCAAATTAAGCATTAATCAATTAGCTAGACTAATCTGTTTTTAATGTTGGGTATTGCTCATGTGCATTCCCTTAAAATTTCCATGGTTTTGTCCCCTGTATTATGCTCTTAGACTTTATTTCTTCCCTTACTCTTTATTTTAATGTGAAAACATGTTCTAGTTTCAGACTAAACCAAGATACATGTACACTTCTTTTGCTCAAATGACCTGGGGAAGCAAGGAAGGTGTTTCATGTTATCTAGATACAGTTCCTTTACTAGGCAGCAAGTGTTTCCACTGAAATAGGGACATGGATTCCTATCTTGCTCATTAGCAACATCAGGACTGACATTTATATAGTGAAAAAGCTGTGCTGAGTTCTGAGATCTTAACTACAGAGATGCTGAATTTCCAACTCCCTCCACCCTCTCTCCATGCATCTGTTCCATGTCGTGTTTAGGGAACTGTTGGCATATGAAGGAATTACAGAGAAAGTGTAGACTAGATTAAAGAAAAGCCTTAACTTGTTATATGTTGTTTTCTCTCTTACATTAGTATAAATTATTTTTCCATCAGCATATCTGCTTTCATTTTTATTGAATAACTGGAAAGAGCTGATAATACTGTTCCAGTGCCCTGTTACCCGTGAGATCAAGTGGCATTTGCTTCCAGGAGCTGGTAAATCATGGCCTGGTTTGAGGTTCTATTAGCAAAGGCAAGGCTGTCTCTGAGCTGCAGGCCAGCCCTGGATACATCTTTAGGATCTCTGGCACATCTGTTGATGGTTTTCCATTTGCAGTGATGGAGAGGGCTCTTAGTGGGTAAAATCCCTCTCAAGCACAGAAGTTGCACAAAGCCTTTGCAGCATGTTGGAGGCAGGCCCAAGGAAAAGGAATAAATTCCTTCTTGCTTATTACTGGCTTGTTTTGACAAGCATTCACATCTCCTAAAAACAAGATCCCTGCTGAGATGGAATATGATATGTCCAACAACTATTGCAAAAAGCAATGGAGAAGGAGATAACATCTTCCCAGGAAACACAAGCCAAGGAGCTGCTAAAGGAGGCATCAGGAAGCAGCAGAAAGCTCCCAAAGCACATCCATCGAAGCACAGTGAGACTGAAAGGAGCTGATGCCTGGAATGGGAGAAGAGGGAGAAGGAACATTTAGCAAAAGGCAGCAGCAAGAAGCCAGAGACTGAATAAGGGAGATCCTCCACTGCTCCATGGAGTTTTCCTACTGAGTCCCTGCTTTGGAAATGGGGAAAGAGTTAATTGTGATGTTGAGTGAGAGGCTTTGCTCAGCAAAGCTCCAGGAGCAGCAGCTGAGGACCTGCCTCGTTGGTAATCTGTATTTATGCATTAATAAATAGGCTTGTTACTCCATTTGATACAATGCCATAGGGTGTTCTGAGGAGCATAATTAGTTTGCTATTAAATAGGCAAATGTATAATTCTTTCATACATCTATGGATAGATAGATGGCCAGACTAGAAAGACAGCTGCCTTTTGCAAAACGTAGCACAGATAATTTCATTAAATAATTTCATAATCTACTCAAAACCTCGGGAGGCTTGGGGGTTGCTCCCAGCCTGTCAGCCCAGCCTCTGGAAAAACTCTTTCTCTAGACTAGTTTTTGTCAGAAAGATTGTATGTAAATTATATATTTAACAATATTTGACACAGTTCTTTATTTTTAAGGATGTTAGATCCATCCTGGATTAGATATTTTTCCTAATTACATTAATATTTAGAAGCTGACTGTTACCTATATAATTGAAATAAAACCTAGTAGGGATGTGGAACAATGGAAAGGCTTTAGGACTTTCTGTCATTGGTTCTTGCTCAGCTCTGTTCTGAATCAGCTTGTCTTTAAAATAATTATCTCTAAATTAGCCACTCAAGAAAGATGTCCAGAAAGATGACTGTGGCACATTTTACAAAGTTTTGTAAATTGAAATGAAACTGTGACCCACAGAAACAATTGTTGTCTGGTGGTTTGGGTGGTTTTTTGCAAAATTGAGTGTATTTACGAGGAGGAAATCTGGAGAAGAATATCCATTACTAAATGCAATTAAAGGGGAGGAAAAAACAACAGCAACTCACTGCAATTCTTGTAAAGAGCTCTGCTAAACCTCTGGGAATAGAAGCCACTGATGCTTCTGGTTCTAGAATTGTTCTTAATTATCTTATTGCTCTGTTCTCTGTTCTTCTAGTGAACTTCCCTTGATTCTAAAAATCAGCACATACCACACTTTTGCAGACAAATGAAGTGGAGAAGCAAACTCTGAGGGCTTTTCAGTCCAGGCACCCTGGAGGAGGAATATCTGGCACCAAATTCCTGTAGATCAGTCGGTGCTTACTGAGACTGGACTATTTTTTGGAAGACGGGATTTTTGTCAGTATTTGTAAGTTCTGCATGTATATTTGCTGTTAGTTCTTTTTAAACTCTTTATTATTTGTTATAAGTTGTGATGTGGCAGGGCATTCTATCAGAGATATTTCCTTATCTCATTTATTGTGTCAAATTTCAATGTATAAGGGTTTCAGAGAGTTCAAGTAGTTTATGTGTTTAGTAGAATAGATAATATTTTTTTAAAGAATCCTTCCACAGAATTGTGAAGCTTATTCCCTTGCAAATTCATACTCATGAGGAAATGCAGCTTTGTCTTCCTTATCAAATATATTTTCAACAGGGTTTAGAAAGGAAAGCACATATAATGACTAGAGTAGGTTTGAGCAATTGCCAGGGAGACAGGATTGAGCCTTTTCTGCACATTTTAACATTACATTTATTCCGTGGGAAATAAGTGATTGTATTTTCCATGGCATCTTGCTGATGTTTTTGGCTCAATCCACATTCATTTAAATAAGACAAAAAATTAAAATTGTACATGACTGTATTCCCACTGTATATTTTTCTATTTTTTTATAGAACTGGTTTTATTCCTTTTCTACTGAAATAGTTGTTCTACTGTAATTTTAGTATCCTATTCCAAATGGAAATATTTTGATTTCTTATTTATAGAACAATTAAGTTAATAAGTTATTATGTTATTCTTTCTGAGTGATTCTAAAGACACAAAGAACTTGAAAAGTGAGTGAGTTAAATTGCAGTTATTAGTATTTTGTCCATTTGATGCTGGTTTGCTTCCAGTAATGCTAAATGTGCAAGTTTGGAATTGATGTTTTCTTTACATGGAAAATACAAATGCCTGACCAAAGTTTCTTTCCTGTCTTGCACAGAAAAAGGTAAGTGACCCTTCATGTAAATATGAAGTATTCCCATAGAACTGAAAATCCAGCTTTAATGTACAATGTGGGTTTGCAGACAACCCTCAGAATATTCTTGTGAAGAGAAACAACCTTGAAGTGTGTTTATGGTGTTGTTTTCACACTGAATTTACACAACCACTGTAATGTGGTTTATAATGTAAGGCTTTTTAAAGATTTTGTGACATTCCTGTGCTCAAAGCTGTAGGATTTCCAAGCAATGTAGGATTTCAGAGAATGTTTCTAAGCCAGCAGTATAGCAGTTCGAGTATGATGTATTCCTCTCTCCACTGCTGGAGTTCTAGAACATTTTGAATTCAGTGGCATGAAGATAGCATTTGTCTGATTAAAACAGTTTGATAAGAAACCAAAAAAAAAAAAAAAGGCATCCTGCTCTACTTTCAGTGGAGTATCTTATCTGTGAGGGGGGGGAGGCCCTGGCACAGGTTCCCCAAAGAAGCTGTGACTGCCCCATCCCTGGAAGTGTTCAAGGCCACGTTGGACAGGGCTTGGAGCAACCTGGGCTAGTGGGAGGTGTCCCTGCCTGTGGCAGAAGGGTTGGAATGAGATGATCTTTAAGGTCCCTTCCCACCCAGACCATTCTGTGGTTCTGTCTTTGTTAACTTGTGTCAAGTTCTTTGTGGTTGTAAATCAGACAGGATCAGACGTGTGGTCTTACAGGCACCTCTTATCTGGGGTAACCTTTCCCTTTCTGTTTCTGTGTCTCATGTTTGAGGTGACACTCCTCTCTTGAGAATCACAAGCACCGATTTTCATCAAGCACTGCTATAATTCTGGCAAAGCCATTAAGTGATAGTTTTCCTGTGTGCAGGAAGCCCTCTGTGCTCAGCGTCCCAGACATACTGTGATGGCACAAACAGGCTGTTTTCACATACCTGATATAATCATGAGCATAAATTGTGGCACAAACCAGTTAGAAAGTAGAGAAAAAAAGTAGGGATTGTTGAGGCTTGAGATTGTTTGGGCTTTACCAATGACTGGAGGAGGATGAAGCCCTAGTTTTAAGTAGGAGTCAGCTCTGCAGTGGGATGGCTGGCAAGCTCTGGGATGCTGTGGCTTGCTTTGTCCATTCTGGAATGGGTAAGGGCAGTGGGGACAGGAACAACATGGAGGTAATGACCTACTAAACTGTTCCAACTCTGTGCACTGCACAGTGAATCTGTGTCCTTCTGCCTCATTTCTGGGATGAGAGCAATCAATCCACTCCCTGCTGTTCATGGAGAGTGGCCCGAGGCAAAAGGGGACTCGTGGCCCTGTAAAATGCTGACTTGAGGTGTTTGTGTCCTTCCTCACAGACTGCCTGCTCATCATGTCTTCAATTCTTGGGAAGATGAAGAAATTTGGCAGTTTTGACATGGAGGAATCTGAAGTGGCAGATGAACACACAGAAGGGGAGGAGTCTGTCCTGGAAACATCTGACAACTCCCCGGGCCCACCCAGCACCAGGGCACAGCCACCCAAAAGCAACATCTTTGCAAGGCGTGGGCGGTTTGTGATGGGGGATAGTGACAAGGACATGGCTCCCATGGACTCCTTTTACCAGATGGATCACCTGATGGCACCTTCTGTCATCAAATTTAATGTCAGTTTGGAGAGGGGGAAACTTCACAAGTAAGTTTGCCCCTTCACAAGATGTGGTTGTAAGGAATAGTTTGACAAGTGCAGACCATGGCTCTTAGAGCACCGTTTGTTCTCTCCACATAAGCATGACTGGTTTTTTTCAGTTTCACTATTTTCTCTGCCAAAATAAGGAGTGTTGCAACTGAAAGGGACAATGGCTGTTTTGGCATCTCTGAAAATTCAGAGAATCCGTGGATATTTTGCCCAAAATTAGCAGTAGGCCTTAATTGACTGTTCAGTGAATGGACATCACTCAGAAGAGAACAAGGGATTGCCTGGCTCCAGGCCTGCAGTTTCACTGCCATACTTGAGTACCTCTTCTGAGTCTTGTTGTCAGCTTTTCAGCAAGTGATACACAACTTTATCAGAACAGTTGCTTGCAGGCTTTGTTGATCTTGTAGTCTTTGCAGATCCATCTATTCTAACCTGTACTTACTACTTCACACAAGCAAATGAAAAATAGTATTCTGTTAGTTTTATAAAAAGTCTGTTAAATCTCTAACTTTTAGTATCTGACTCTTAGTAACTGAAATTTACCCTTGTTAGGCTCCTGTCTGCAGATTCCATCACAGGCTGCTCAGAAAAAGCTTTCAAGTTTTACGATCGCAGAAGGATCTTTGATGCTGTAGCCCGAGGCAACACAAAGGACCTGAGTGACCTGCTACTCTACCTTAATAGAACCTTCAAGCATCTCACAGATGAGGAGTTCAAAGGTACCCTTTGGTGGCACATACCTTCAGTTGCCCTCTTCTTCCTCCAGTAGTGCTCCTGAGATGAAAACAAAAAAAAGATAATTATGTTATATGTCTGCAGGAGGTCCTTTAATAGCCACTACTGCCCTATTGATTGGGCAACCCATTGATTGTAAGGTTACAGGAGCTGAAATGTTTTGTGAAAAGCCTAAATGAGTTTCCTTGTCTTTTGAAAAGCACCTCATTAATTCCTGCTTGCCTGGGTATAGATGGTGGATCTGTAATAACTTCAATACACCTTCAATCTTTTGTGTTATAGAGCCTGAAACTGGGAAAACCTGTTTACTGAAAGCCATGCTGAATCTGCATGATGGGAAAAATGATACCATTCCCTTGCTGCTGGATATTGCAAGGAAAACTGGAACTCTGAAAGAGTTTGTTAATGCAGAATATACTGACAACTACTACAAGGGTAAGAGAAATGGCTGCTACAGGGGAACCTTAGGGTGCTAAGACTGAGAGTCTTTTTCAAGAAGCCTTATGCTTGAGGATGCAGCACCCCAAAGTTCCAGTGTGTGATTAACAATCTGTGCATTTGTGCTGGGAGTGTGTTCTGTGCAATATTCTGCCATTTTTTATATACAGTGATTAATAGCAAGTTCAAGGAATGTCCATTTGCTGTTTGTGGGGGTTTTTTTCTGTTCAGTTCTAGAGCTTTTTGGTCTGCAAAGCTCTCAGTTCCACCATCTGACATGGAGCTGAGTGAATTGCAGTGCTGAAAGCTCTCAGTGTGTACTAAGTGCTGAAGATTTCTGTCTGATGGCTGTCTCTGCAGGCCAGACTGCTCTTCACATCGCCATCGAGAGAAGGAACATGTACCTGGTGAAGCTCTTGGTCCAGAATGGAGCAGATGTTCATGCACGAGCCTGTGGGGAGTTCTTCAGGAAAATCAAAGGGAAATCTGGCTTTTATTTTGGTAGGAGTGAGCTCAGTATGGGCTTTATTGATTGAGTTATCCTAGCATCACCCCAAGTGCAAGCTGTTAAATAATCCTGTTTATGTGGGACTAGAGGCTCAGATGCCAGATGGGTTGTTCCACCATCGGGACAAATATTTACTCCTGAGCTTATAAACTGATCTTATAAACAAACACAGTTGGTAGTTGATGGCGTTCAGTGTGAGCTTGGTGTTCTCTGAGCACTGCATCCTTTGACAGGTTGTAACCTTCTGCTCCTGTCCTGTCAGTGCTTTTTTTAAGCAGCTGTGTTTCTGTCATGCAGTTAAAACCAAAGAAAATCTGATTCTAACAGCTATCACAGGAACTGGTGCTGCGTCAGAGGAATCCACCTTTTCTTAGTGCAAGATGAAAACAACGTGAACTTCATATTTTCTGACCACTCCTTCCCTTTGCTTCCTGTAGGGGAGCTGCCCTTGTCCCTGGCTGCCTGCACCAACCAGCTCTGCATTGTGAAATTCCTCCTGGAGAATCCCTACCAGGCTGCTGACATTGCTGCTGAGGACTCCATGGGCAACATGGTCCTGCACACCCTGGTGGAGATTGCAGATAACACTAAGGATAACACCAAGTTTGTAACCAAGATGTACAATAACATATTGATCCTTGGTGCCAAAATTAATCCAATCCTGAAGCTGGAAGAGCTCACCAACAAGAAAGGGCTGACTCCATTAACTCTGGCAGCCAAAACAGGGAAGATAGGGGTAAGTGAGAGAAGGTGTTTAACTGTCCCGTTATTGTATCAAGTTATAGAGAGCACGTGTAAAACATTTATGCAAGATGGGGTTTGTAACTTTATTGTTGGGGCCTTTTAGTTAATAGAAACTGAGGCTGCAGTTTAACATGCAAACCTGCAGAGCCCTTAAAGGCCATGAAATGTGTGTGTGTGTATGTGCCCAGCTGGTGTTATTCATACACCCCTGGCAACCCAAGAGGAAACCACTGGAGCCCTTGTACTTTTGACTGCTGTTATAACTCATTTTCTGGCAGTCCCCATTCACAGTGATTGTGTGCTCAGAGAGGTGTAACACACACCTCTGCTTTTCTCTTGCAGTTTTGAAGCAGATAATGCCAAGCTGTAAGAGGTATTTATATTTCTCATCTCCCAGCATCCAGTAAGAAAATGAATTGTGTTTCCTTGAGAATGCAGTCCTCCAGTGGTTTGGCCTCAGCTCAGTTAGACTAGGGAGAAATTACCCATCCTTTCATGTGGAGATGCTGAGGGACAAGAAGTCCATTAGCACTGACATGTTGGTTGTATTGTTCTTTTGCAATTAGATTTTCGCTTACATCCTCAGACGAGAGATCAAAGATCCCGAGTGCAGACACCTGTCCAGGAAGTTCACTGAATGGGCATATGGACCTGTCCACTCCTCTCTTTATGACCTGTCCTGTATAGACACGTGTGAGAAAAATTCAGTTCTGGAGATTCTTGCCTACAGCAGTGAGACACCAGTGAGTATTGCACCTCCTTTGCATTTTATTCCCAGGCTGGGGGACTGCTGGGGAAGAGCTTCATGTTCCGCACAGTGCACCTTTTGCCTCCTTTCCATAAAAGAGCAGTCACCCCTCCTGAGTTTAAGGGAATGAGAGAGAACATTTGCTGAAGATGAATATAATTTGTTTTTCTTTCAAAGTCTGATACATACTGGTCCCAGCAAGACTCTCCTCTTTCTCCTTCTGCTCAGAACCGGCACGAGATGCTGCTGGTGGAGCCCCTTAACAGGCTCCTGCAAGACAAGTGGGACCGGTTTGTCAAACACTTGTTTTACTTCAACTTCTTTGTCTATACCTTGCACATCAGCATCCTCACTGCAGCTGCTTACTACAGACCTGTACAGAAGGACCAAAAGGTATGTCACTGTGGCATGTGTCAGGGGAGCCAGCCAGTGCATGACATCTCAGATCTGCCTCCCATTTGAATGTGTGCTCCTAACATCAGAAATGTCCTCTTTCCTGAAGGGAGGAGGGAGATTTTGACCCTGCTTGATTCCCAGTCTTGCTGCAGCACATTCAGAAACTTAACCTGTTGCCCCCCACAATGTAGTTGCTTTAGGCTGCTGGCAAGGCCAGGTTTTTCCTGTCTCCAGTTCTGCTGAACATCTTCCTGTCTTATACAGCCTCCCTTCACCTTTGGTTACACCACTGGGGAGTATTTTCGAGTGACTGGAGAGATCCTGAGTGTTCTGGGAGGCCTCTATTTTTTTTTCAGAGGGGTAAGATATTTGAAAATTTCCCTTTTGCTGTTTGAATAGATGTAGGGGAGAGTCAAACAAACATTTTCTATTCATTAGCATTGGCTGCTAAAATGACCCATGTTTTAGTCAAGAGCGACAAGTCTTTTTCCTAGGCCTGATTAGGAGTTCTCAGGTTACTAATGAGCCAAGATACATTTTTATCTATTGATAAAAAAAGCTTCTCCTTAGAAGGCAACGAGCATCTTGGCAATTAGCCTTGCCAAAGCTTAAGGGTGGGGTATTGCAAACAGCCAGCCCTCCACTAAAGGTTACCTGGCTTAGCCTAAAGTCCCCCAGCTTCCCCTTGGCAGCCAATGGAAAGGGAGCAGTGAATCCCAGGTCCTCAAACAGTGACTGAATGGGTTGTTGTCTTCAAAAGAGACACCAGATGTGAGAGAATTCAAGTGTTGCTGGAAGAGTCCTGCGATATTGTGCCAGTGCTGTTTTCCAGCTGTTCTTGTGATTTTAATAGGTACCAGCTCCCTGGTACAGGGCTCAGGGCTCAGTTGATGCATTCACAGGTGATAGTTAATTCCTCCTTGATGCAAACCTGGTCTTGGTTCCCTTTTCTTTCCAGATACAATATTTCGTGCAGAGGCGCCCGTCATTCAAGACGCTGATCATTGATGGCTACAGTGAGGTTCTTTTGTAAGCTCCAATATCTTTGGTTGCATCTCAGCCAGAAACAGATGAGTGTGGGAGATCTGTAGTTCTGGCTGAAGCCACCTGTAATAGGTAGATGCTTTGCTATAATTTCCTGGGTCTTTACAACAGAGAAGCCAGTGGATATCACTGAACAGATGGGTCTGGGGCAGTGACCTCCTTTGGAGGTAAGGCAAATTAAGTGTCTAGATGTTCAGTGACTGTGTCATGCAGCAGAGTTAGGAATAGATCTCCAAGCTGGACTTATACACTGGATGTGCAGAAATCCTCCCACTGCTAAAGGGAGCTTTGCCTCTGAATGTTTGGGTCCTTTCTCTTCCCAACTGGAGTGCACTAAACAGGGGGAATCCCTCATTCTGCTGTACACCCCATGGGGCTCCTCTGTTCCCACCACCTGTGACCAGCTCAGCCCTCTGCATTCAGACCATGCTTGTCTTTCAGCTTTGTTCACTCCTTACTCCTCCTGAGCTCTGTGGTGCTGTACTTCTGTGGCCAGGAACTCTACGTGGCTTCCATGGTGTTCTCCTTGGCACTGGGCTGGGCCAACATGCTCTACTACACCCGTGGCTTCCAGCAGATGGGCATTTACTCTGTCATGATTGCCAAGGTCAGTGCAGGGAGCAGGTGTGCCCAGAGTGGGACACTGCTGCCAACAGCATTCCAGAAGACACCTTGCCATATCTGCCTCCATGATGCCACTGGGAAAGCTCATAACGCTCTGCTAAACTTTGCTGTTGTCTTCTGAGTGAAGTGATAAAATTTAAGTGATGTAGAAAAACCCCCTGCTCCTCATCCATACATTTTAAAGCAGTCTTGATATGATGATGATGATTTTTATTGCCTGCCATGCTTCAAAATAACTATGATTGGACAAGCATGGATGAAAGGAGACTGAGAACGATGTAGACTGCTCTGGTGTGAAATGGCCCAGCTTTCCACCAGCTGGAAATTTCTTTAGGTATAGTTCAAATATTACCAAACAGAGCAATTAACTAAGAGGCTGGCTAATTAACTAGCTGGCTAATAAACCTCTCTGTATGGTGTAGACAGCCAGTCCAAGAGGGGAAGAAAGCTTCAACTGTCTTAATGTGGTTTATACTCGCAAAGAGGAAACTATTTGACAGGCATATGTGTTGCATATGTGTGTAAACTGCTGCATGAATAACAGAGAAAAATGTTTTCTGTATTAAAGTTTATCATCTCAGCAGGATAAACAACAGTTTAATGCATGAACAGCCAGTTCATGCAAATGCCTTCTTGAGCTGAAGCAGGTACCCATTTTTGGTGCAGTTTATATTCAAGTTTTAGCAATGTAAAAATACTCTGTTTTCATGTTGCAGATGATCCTTAGAGATCTGTGTCGCTTCATGTTTGTCTATCTAGTGTTCCTCTTGGGATTTTCTACAGGTAATTTTCTAATTGGAGTTACTTTTTGTTACTTTAGAGAGTCTTGGAAAATGTTATTTTTCAAGTTGCTTAGACTTTTGTTTCCAACTAAAAACTAAAAAATTAGCCTACTTACAAAAAATATCTCTTCAGAATAACAATTATCTGTAGTAGTTTCATACAGCTTTTCATCCCTGGGTCTCCAACTGCTTTCCAAAGCTGATGGAAAAACATTCAGTCATCCTGTTCTGTGTAGAGAAAGCTGAGGCAACACCTTCTGAGAGGTGTCAGTTATAGGGAATATTTATAGGGCAATTTCCCTGGAGTCAGTGTACCATGAGGATAACAAATGTACCATGAGGATAACATGCTTTACCTTTATACTCCTTTCATTGCTTGCAAAGGAATTATGATCCCAAATTGTATTTTCATCCTGCCTATGTGATTCTTCTTTTGCAACAGCTGTGGTGACTTTAATTGAGGATGACAACGAGGGGCAAGAGACAAATACCTCTGACTATTCCCGCTGCTGCCACGTGAGACGAGGCCGCACGTCCTACAACAGCCTGTATTACACCTGCCTGGAGCTTTTCAAGTTCACTATTGGGATGGGGGACTTGGAGTTCACAGAGAACTACAGGTTCAAGTCTGTGTTTGTCATCCTCTTGGTTCTCTATGTCATCCTCACGTACATCCTCCTGCTCAACATGCTCATTGCGCTGATGGGGGAAACCGTGAACAAAATTGCACAGGAGAGCAAGAGCATCTGGAAACTCCAGGTGTGTTGGTTCTGGGAGGCTGCTGTCCAAGAAAGAGGGTGTGGGGAATCATCAGAAATTTCAGAGAGAATCTTTAGGAACCGACATCTTTCTAAATAACAGGTCACTGCTTCTTTCTAATTACTCTGAACAGCTCCTGAAAAAAGTGTATTAGTTCCTTTTCCGTGTATATTTGATGTTTGCCTGAGCAGATGTTCCCAGTGTTCCACAGATGTTCAGAATTTAAGAAAAGAAGTACTTTTGTAATTAGACAAAATTATTTGGGCTTTTGACGATGGAAAATCCTGATCAGACTATGGAGCCAGGGATTATGCAAGGGGAAAAAGCAATCTTTACCAGACTCTCAAAGGCACATCATTTTTTTTTTTGAGGTAAGAAAGGGAACTTCATAGTTCTAATCACAGGGCAGTAATTGAGCATTTTTAATGACATTAACAGAGGGTGATATCTCAGAGGTGGTTACAGTGACTGCTCTAAGATGATGACAATGATAAATACTGAAAGTTTATAAAATAAAGGCAGTATTCAGGATTTGTATGACTGACCAGCAGCCTCTCAGTGCTCTGCTTTCTCTTACCTGGCAGAGAGCCATCACAATCTTGGATATTGAAAACAGCTACTTGAACTGTTTGAAGAGCTCATTCCGGTCCGGGAAGCAAGTCTTGGTGGGGATCACACCTGATGGCCAAGATGATTACAGATGGTGCTTTAGGTAACCTGTTTGTGTGTCAAATGAACAATCTTTTTCAGACAAACAGCATTAAGGCATCTGGTGGTAGGAAGCAGAGCTTTCCCCCTGGAGCACTCTGAAAAGTAGCTCACTAATACTGTCTACAGTAGTCAGTTTAATATGATTTTTAGGTCAGATCTGAGGCTTGAGAGGTGGCAGTTTGTGATAAAAACTCATCCTGGAGTTGTCTGGTGATGCTCAGAATAGATATTGGGTTCGTTGTTCTCTCCCCAGGGTTGATGAAGTGAACTGGTCCACATGGAATACGAATCTGGGCATAATCAACGAAGACCCCGGGTACTCCGGGGACCTCAGACGGAATCTCAGTTTCTCTATTAAACCTGGCAGAGGTGAGGGCTTCAGTGACCTAAATCCTAGTATGGGCTACACACTGGGGACAGTAGCAGCATGGATTAATTGTTAGAGGGCACTCAGTGTTATGAACTTACTGATAATTCAGTAACTAAGTTTATGTCATTTCCCATCAGCACAAAATGCGAAGGATGAAGTGGGCTCATCACTCACAGCAGTTTGACTCTTGGGAATAAAACCCCCATAGATCTGTCATTCTGAATGAAGATTTTACAAGACAGATAAGGTGTGAAGCCTGAGGAGATGGAGCAGTGTATGATGGCAACCAGATAACTAGGAGGAGGCTTTTGGAGGCCCCAAGCCCTACAGTTTGGGAGCTCAGCCCTCAGCACAGAAGTATTCAACTGTGCAATCAGTCTCTGCTGTACTTGCCAGCTGAAATATGGAAAACTCATGCAACAGTATGGGCAAGAAAACCACAAAGCCCTTTCTTCCTGCTTCTTTCTTCTTCTTTCATCAGCTTCCTATTTAAACCACTTGTATATTTGCTGATTCTGTGGAGGGGGAAAAATTAACCATTCCTTTCCTTTGTAGTTTCAGGGAAACACTGGAAAACATTGGTTCCGCTTTTAAGAGATGGAAGCAGGAGAGAAGATAGTCACAAGCTACCAGAGGAAGTCAAATTAAAACCTGTTTTGGAACCTTATTATGAGCCAGAAGATTCTGAGGTGTTGAAGGAGTCGCTTCCAAAGTCAGTCTAATCTTGCTTTATTTTTAGGAAGAAGTTTAATTCTAGTTGCCTGTGTTGGCCCTGCTGGAAAAAGGCCAGAGGACTTAGGAAGTTACTGTGTTCAAGGATTCACTAAGTATGCTAAATAAAATACTTGTTGTTTAAGCTCATGTCTTCATGGTTATTTTTAGCATAACCTTCTGTCTGCTTTTAGAGTCTCCTTCTTTTAAGAAGTATTTTTATGAGCTTCCATACCCCCTGATTTTGTGGCTTTGCTGCCTCAAAACCCAACCAACCAAACTATTATGACACTGGAGATGGACTCATAAAAGAGCAGTGAAAATCACCATAGATATGTTCCTGTGAGAAAAGTTTCTTGGAAAGCAGATAAATAAATGGGACAGGAAAAGAATACAAAATAATAAATGATTTAGAGATGTTATTCTTTTCTCATAACACAAGAACAAATACACTCTGTGAAATTTTAAAGGTTGAATAGTCAAAACCGATGAAATAAATGTTTCTCTTACACTGTCTGAGTAAACTCCAGAAATTCACAGTTATTGTTACTGAGGCTGAAGGCTTAACAAGATCCCAAATTTGACATTTATTTAGATAACAGATGAACTTTGCACAAAGTAAGAGATAGTGGTGATACAGAATATATGTTAAAAGGTCAGATGTATAATAATGTACAACAATAATAATCTTGAAATCAGAAAGTTTTTGTTCTTGACTTTGACAGCAACCACAGGGGGAAAGAAATCTGGTGCTGCAAATCCATCTGGCTGGATTTACAAAGAGAATCAGGAAAACTATCAGAGAGAGAAAATAGGCAGATGTTCTAAAACTACAGATGGGAGCTCTGGAAAGAGAGGAGAGCGTAAGGTAAATTGTTTTGCTTTCTTTCCTTGCATCACTAAAGCACTTAAGAGTTCACAGCCTTTACTGCCCATGTCAGTGTGCACATACAAGTATCCTTAAGTCAGCAGGGTGTTTGACTGTGGGTTTCAGTCGTTCCTGTGGCTGCATCTGAAGAACAGTTGTGCTGAAGTGCTGCTGTGAAACCAGGCCAGAGCACACCCAGCCTGTGCCAGGGCAAGCCCGTGGTGCTGGGCTGTGACACACCCACCGTGCTCTGGGAACACTCACCCGAGTCACTGCAGGTGGAATATGACACACTGGAGGGGCCCCGTGGAAATCGTTGGGAAAACTGGAAATGAAAGACATGGAAAATGGAGCCAACCTTTGAAACACAATTTTCATCAATACAGCCTGTAATTTTTCTGCATTTTCAGATGCTGAAACAGTCATTACTCTTAAAGAGAAGCAATCAATGTATTTACACACAGGCTGCCCTTTGCTGCTGCAACTGTGAGATGAAGTTTTGGGTTGTGTGCCATCACTTCTCTTACTGGGGTCAGGGTTTCTCACCCTGCTCCTTTCTCATGGGGCACTACAGCAATATATTTGAACAAAATCTTCAAACATCCAGCTGCTTTATTTGAAATAGTAGCACCATCTAGAGGACTAATAATTCTTGTTTCTTTGGTTAGCATCATTCAGGACAAATGTAGTTTTGGTTTCATAGAGTTTGTAGGGTAGAACCAGAGAAACTTGCCAAAGGATTTGAAAGAAATGCTTGAAAATAATCAGAATTTAAACCGGAAATAATCAGAATTTAATGTCTCTGGTGGACAGGGAAACCACCAAGGGTGTTTAAAGCAGTGTGTTTAATTCCATACCAATTTCAATATCAAAGGTGTATCTCTAAACACTCGGTAGCAGCCTCTGTAGGTTCCACTCAAGGCTTCATTACACTCCATGCTAAACATGGCAAGAGACAACCCACATGTAAAACAAGCACAGCTAAATAGGCAAGACAAGCTGAGACAGTGTAACAATTTATTATTAAAACTATTTAGAATAAATGTAGAAAGGGGCTGACTAGTAAAACATCGTTGATTGTCTCCATGCCTTTGTGTTCCGGGCCAAATTTATGCTTGGAGGGACACCAGGATCATGATATAGCTGGAAAGCATTCATGAAATTTCTGTTTTCCCTGGGAGGGATCCATTTCTCATAATTATCAGCCTGACTAGAGGCCTAATCCACTGCTTAAATTCCACCTTGGTTTACATCAAGTGCCTATCCAGAAGGATTGATCAGCTGCCCTGGGTAACCTGAACATATTATACACCTCTGCCTTCCTGCCCCTTCCTGCTCCAAGAAGATTACAAATTACAGGAGACTTCTTAATAAAAACCAGAAATGCCAGAATTCAGACTGAAAACATGCATCAGTATAGTGCTGTGGTTAAGAATGTAAATGCCCTGTACTTGTGGGATAGGGTGGTGCTGGTGGGGTTTTTGGTTACATTTTTAAAATCCCTTAGTCTTGTCTGGGAAGCAAACAAAATTATCCCACTTCTCCAGAGGGAGTTATTACCAACCTCTCAGAATTTCCAGCTATACCATCCCTCAGTTCCTGCAGTGGGCAGAAATTTGTTTCCCACAGATGGGGAAGTAGAGCTTGGCAGTGATACCAACCCATTGTTGCACACATTTATTCAGACTCAGCCAGGGCTCTGTTTGCCAGTTTACTTCCTTCATTTTCATTCCACCTCAGCACAGGGAATTACCTTTGGAGATGAAGGTGGGTCTGTTCAGGCAGACAGGGTGGGATGCCTGCAGGGGACACACTTGCTCTGAAGGGACAGACTCTCATGCTGGAGGGCTCCAACTAACCCCAAGGGAAGAGAGGTGGCTTGTCAGGAAGTGTTTGTCCTTTAAAAATACCTTTGCCAGGACTAGCACCTTTCTGTTCCCGCTTGTAAACACCTGCACTGAGGAGGAGAATGGCCTTGTAACAAATTATCTTTACTTGGGTTCTTTTATGGAGGTTCTGCTCACCTTGGCAGACGTATTTTGCAGGATCTTGCGGAATCTTGAGCCCTTGGGGAGTTTTTTAGTTTGTACTTTGCATAGTTATTTCCCACTGAGCATGTTTAGGAACAACACATGGTTCCCATGCTGTTCTTTGGGGCTTGCAGGTGGTAAAAATCTCTCCTCTCACAGTTATTAGTCACATTAATTTGTGTCCACACTAAGTGCTTAATATGAGATGATCAGGTTGAAAAACTGTATATAACCACCAGTTCCCAATAACCACATGGGCATAAAAGCCAAAGAAATGGAGGGTGTTGATGTGCTCACCTCCTGTCTGAGGGTGACAGCTGTAATTAGCAGTGACTGCAAATGTGTGTGGGATGGAGACAGCAAGAGAGCTGAGCTGGGCTGCCCTGCACTGGGAGGTGAGAATGGACTGATGAACCTGTGGGAAACCAAAGACATGATCTCAAAGTATTTACAGCATTGCCATACCTGAGATGCAACTGCTCTTGTCAGCCATGAAAACTGAACGGTTGTGCCTTTCAAACTCCAGTAATTTCTGAATTAGTTAAGAAAAACGCACATTCTGACTGAAGAACTTGGAGCCACACAGCCTGTTCCTGTGCACTTGTTGTGTCCTCTGCCACAGCTGCAGTGGCAGCTGGAGTGTGAATAGCCCTCGTGCTAATTAAACATTCACATTAATCACTTCTCAGAGCTGCTTTTAGTGGGGTCCACGACAGAGCAGGGCCCACAAGAGGGCCCCCACGCCATGTTTAGGGCTGCTGCTGGTCCCCCTGGGGCACCCCAGAACTGACTGGCCCCAGGACAGCCCCTCTCCCTCTGATGCCACTGTCTTGCTCTGCTGCCTCTGATCATATTAATTATGCAGAATTATATTTATTTTTGCTAAATGCCAGCTAATTCTGCCACTCTTCTGAGGCATCTGTATGACACTGGCACATTCCTCAGTCCTGCATCTTTGCTGGAGCCCCCAGTACTCAAAAATCCACAAGGTGTGTATGCCCAGCAAGTGCTGCTGTGCTACAAAACACAAGGGATCCTGCCAACCCCATGGCTTTAAGGGATAGAGCCAGTGGACTCAGGTTCTGATGCTTCAAGTTTTCAGAATCCCATAAATAGGATTTTTATACAGTGTTTTTCAACAAGCTGTTGTGGTAGATTTTCCAAATTCAAAAAAATTCCAGGTACATTAAAAATGCCCGATATGCTGATGATCAGGCAGTGTCCTGGATGTTTAACACCAGCTTGCACACGTTAGAGAGAATCCTCCTGCAGTGCAAGGTGCTCCTTACATGTCTGCTCCATTAGGCACAGGCATGGATTTACTAGAGCTTGGGAGGAAGGGGTTTTAATTGATGCTGCCAGATGCAGCATAGACATCCTGGGTCTTCTTGATGTGGTTATAGGGCTCTGAAGTGCTTTCCATGACCCACACCATGCACACTGGGATGACTTCTGACTCTGGAATAGTTTCCACAGAGAAAATATGGACCCGATTCCTCCTACATCTGATGTTAATCTTCAAAATACGTGGTGGAGGGCACCTATTTCTCTGGGAAGGAGGAGAAATCAACCAACTGATCTCACTGGATTTCTCTCTTCCTGGTGTGTTGGTGATGCTGTGGCTGAGCTACATCACCATTAGTAACACTTCCCGTTTCAGTGTGCAGGGAATGAGTGGGCTCCAGGAGACGCCAACATTTCCAGAATCACGGAGGTTTTCAGACTTCATCATCATCCAGAGCAGGATTTCTCAGTCCTGGCTCTAATCAGCCTCTAAAATCAACATTTTAGTCACCTGAATGTTGGTTTGAAAACTCGTGTCCCCTGGAATTGCTGTGTCAGCCGGTGAGAGCAACTCCCAATTACAGGAACTAAAGGAAGTGTCCTACTCACTTGGCCTGTAAGAGCATGTCACTAAGTCTAAGTCATTTCTTTCAAAGCTGACATAGTAGGTTTATCCCAGACATTCCTCTTATTCCAGAGGAGAATGCGGATAATGAACCGCATAGAGAAGAGGGATCCTGTCCCCAGTTCCTGTTAGTCAGAGGGGGAAAGCCAGGAGTGT